AGTAAATCGGGATGAACAGCATCTGCATCATTTCGCCAGGCCATGGCGACCCAGGGTTGTAGCGTCTAGGTTTGGTTGCCCACGCGCGTTCTTTTATGAAACCGAGGCCGGCGAGGGTAAGGTCGATGTCTTCCTTGTTATCCCCGGAGTGGACGGACGCGCACTGAGCGATGTTCTCCACGGGGGTGGCCAGTAGCTCGGTAATCTCCTGTTCGTTGAGGAGGATGCTGGTATTAGGAGCTGGACCATAAGAAACCTGTCACAAGAAACCCACCCCTGAAACCCCGGGAAGTCCATTGCTTTTTGGTGTGGGGATGTCACACCCAGGAAATCCAGGGCACCCTGGAGGCAAGCAGGGTGCTTCTCGACATGGGTCTCCGCTGCATGACGAGGGCTGGCACTCAGTGCCTCCCTCTGCAGCTGGCTTGGCGAGCGCGCCCAGGACGACGACGGCGGCGACGGCGACAGGCGGGGCGACCGGGCGCGCGTGCGAGTGCGCGGGGGCGCGCCCGCTGGCGGCGGTGGCGGCGGCCGGGGCGCGGCCCCCCGGAGTGGCGACGAGGAGGCCGAAGAGGAGTGAGGCTTTTTGAGCTCAACACTCCGCTGCCGCAGGATTCGAGCACTGGGGGCAGGGCCCGCTGCAATGCAGAGCCCTGGCGGCCCTGCAGGCCTCAGAAGAGAACTGCTACTGCGCCCTCGCCGTCTGTGGAAGGACGAGCCCGAGGAGAGAGAAAGAGAGAGAGAGAGAGAAAGAGAGAGGTAGAGAGAGAGGAAGGGTTGGGACTGAGGGGGGCGGAGTCCGACGAGAACCTGCTGTTCCCTGGCATCCTGATCTGCACGGGGCCCCGCGGACGTCGGGGAGAGAGCAACACCGTGATCTCCGCTTCCCCCTCGGAAGAAGACTGGTTGTTCCCGCCGCCACAAGTCCCCTCGCGATCGGCACGGCCCTCGACACGAATCCCCCCCTCCTGCATCCACCTCACCAGCACTCGCACTGACGCCAGGCTCGCCGTGCACCTTTCCTACACTCCCGGGATGATGGGGCTCGCCACACCACGGACCCACTGGGAACGCTTACGGCATTGATCGAAGGGAGGAGGGA